GCCATACTTAGATGCTTCAACCGCCAAACGATCCAGAATGAGTTGCATACCCTGAGGATCGTCACCAAGTAAGGCGATATCATCAGCATAATCTAAGTCGGTCGCGCGCTCACCCGGTAGAAGCTCTAGGCCAAAATGTTGGAAACCTTCTAGGGCATTCGACAGAACGTCTTCGATTGCGAAGTTGAAGAGGAATGGGGACATAGGGCAGCCCTGTCGCACACCGCTATTGACAGCGAATTGCGAGGAAAGCTTGCCATAGACCCTCACTCTGCCGGATGTATGAAGGTAAAGTGCTCGTAAGATGGCGGTATATTTCTCTGGCACCCCGTTCTTTAGTAAGCAACGCCATAAAGCAGGTCGATCAACGGAGTCAAAAGCGGCACGTATGTCTAGGAATGCAACGATAGTGGGCCTGTGATAAATGTGGCGATGTTCAAGGAGTTGGCGGAGCGTGAAGATTTGATCCACGCATCCGCGGCCAGGACGGAAACCAGCTTGTTCTTCACGGTAGTATGATTCACGTACTGGGGATAGTCTACGAAGCAGAATGGATGCCAACAGCTTAGAGGCAACCGAAATAAGACTAATCCCGCGATGATTTGCACATGAAGTGCGAGCGCCTTTCTTGAAAATTGGGACAATAACTGATTCGCCCCAAGAGGAAGGCACTTTCTCTTCATGCCAAATTTTTGCGAACAGCGCGGTTAGCTGGTTAATGATCGCCACACCGCCATACTTGAATAGCTCCGGAGGAAGTCCGTCTAAGCCGGCAGCCTTGAAGCGCTTCAAGCGTCGAATCTCGAGGCAGACTTCTGCTTCGCTGGGTGGATTCAATGGGACGAGCCAGGGTGGACAGCAAGGTGTACTGCATGTACTGATGGATGGTGGAGGCCAGTTGAACTGCGAGTGAAAGTGCTCGGCCCAGCGGTCCATACGCCTCTGTTGGTTGGTGATCGGAGACTCATCCACCTCACAAATGACCTCACTGACACCAGGCTTCCTGAGGCCAGTGGACCGAATGAGTTGGAAAAGCCTGCGAGTGTTGCCAGAGAGGGCAGCAGTCTCCATCTCTAAAGCACGCTCAGACCACCATGTCTCGCGATCCTTGCGTAGGCTTTGCTTGAGCAGCCGGTTGGCAGAACGGCGCCGCTCGTTGCAATCTGATTCCGCCGGGATATCTTTGCGGCGTTCGAACAGCTCCAGAGAACGAGCAGAGATCCAAGACTTCAAAGGGCGTCGAGTTAGACCGCAGCATGACTGTCCGGAAATGGTCAGCGCTTTCCGTATACAAGTCCAGTGTTGTTCCACTTCTTGCGGTGGATTGCAACTGAGTGCATATGCCAGTGAAGACTGATAGCTCTCCTGGACAGAGGAATCAGTTAATCTGTTTACATCAATCTTGCGGTGCTTCGTGTTTCGGGATCCTCCAAAACACATACAGATTTTCGCGCAGACCAGAGCATGATCTGAATCAACGAAAGTGGACCAAAAGGACCTGCAGTCCAGTACGCTGCCGCGCCATCTGAAGCTAATCGCAATGTGATCAATTTGAGACCACGGTTGTGTTGGCGAAGGGGGACGCCACGTTGCGGAACGCTTCTTCGTACGCCTGAAGCTAGTGCTCGAAAGAACCAGACGTTGTCCTCGCACAATGTGAGAAGTCTCTCTCCGTTATCAGAGCGGTTCTCATCGAGCGCGTGATGACCACCAAGGTGGCGTTCGTATGGTAACAAGGCGGCCAACCCGTGCATTAACTTCCCCAGCCAAGATAACGACATCCGACTTCTTAGCATTAGTCCAGAGCTGTTGTAGATCTCGGTAGAAATCGTCCTTGACAGAGTCGCCACTGCTGTCAGTTGGAGCATACACAGAGATCACAAACAAGCTGTGTCTCTCTTCGCAGTGCCTGTTGATTCGACATGAACCCCGAAGCCGAACTGCACATAGTCGGCTGTTAATCGGGAACCAGTCCAGTAGTGCGTTCTCAAGCTTGCCACTCAGGGCCTTTACCTACACCAGCCCAAACCCGCTGAGCTTGCTTCTGGATCTCCAGAAAGACGCAGGTGATATCTGGCTTCGTGGTCAGTGGGGGATGTCAATGTAAGCACAGTGCTGGGATCTTGCAATCGGGTTTCTGAAAGGCAGCAGACATCAATGTCTAGGGAATCTAGGGTGCGCGCTAGACCGGCTTGCTGTCCAACCTGCATGAGTGTCCGGACGTTGAAGCACGCCAGACGGAACGAGGATCGGGGACGAAGGAGAGCCATAGGTTGAATTCCTTGATCTGCGGAGCAACCGGAATCGCAGCCAGATTGTTGAACAGATGAATCGGGTAACCGAAAGTGAGGATTGTTAGCAAACAAACAATTGGCGTGTGATGGAGTAGCGTGAAAGTGAGTAGCAGGAACAGTAGCTGATGAGCGCGTTGTAGTGAAGTCCATGGTTAGATGGGTACTGGCCATCGAAATTTTGCACTGTGATCCGAGGACTTTCCAGTTAAATTGTTTAACAACTAAGGCAGCGATGTAACTTTCAGAGCTCCCCGTATCAACTAGCGCTTTCAGAAGAATGTCGTTGATGAGCACATCGATGACAGCGTGTGAGAGACTGTTTGGCGAGGCTGCGACTGTGACAGCAGAGATATAACTTTGAACTACTGAAGCAGTGTTTTTAGCAGTAGAACGGCAGACCTTCTGGTAGTGTCCTTTTTCCCGCAACCGTTACAAACAGCGTCACGAGCAGGACACTGAGACTATGTCTCTTAAACCCACAGAAAAAACCGTTGTTGTGCGATACACCAGCGTTGACGTTCTTACCAGAGGGTGAGTCACAGGTTGTCTGCAGTGATTCTGACTGGCGTGTGGTAGATGCACCATAAGTGTTTTCCGATTGGCATGACTGTGACTGGTGATAGACCATTTCTAGGGATCGGGCCTGTTCAAAAGCAGTGTGGGGATCAAGCGAACAGTTTTCCAAGAGGCGTTGCCGTATCGTTTGAGGCTGCAGCCCAGTTATAAAAGCGTCACGAATGGCGTCCTCGGGGTTATTCTCTGCCGATACCGTTTTGAAGTTGCAGTCCTGAGCCAGTGACTTCAACTTCTGCATGAAGTTGTCTAGGGTTTCGTCGCCTTGTTGTTTGCTGGTAGCAAGTAGGTGGCGTGCGAAGATTTCATTTTTCGGTTTGATGTATACCTTCCCCAGTGTTTTGATGGCAATTTCGTAGGTCCCACACTCCTTAATGTAGTCATATACATCAGGGGATACGTAATTAGCGAGGATCCTCAATTTGTTTAGCGACGAAGAGTCAATGGTGTCCAAACAATACGTCAGTGTCAAATCAGTGTGTCCATTGCTTCACAGCATTCGCATTGTTGGGATCACCATCAAAACGTTCAGGTCAGAGGATACGGTCCATTTGTTGCTGAATAAATTGCTATATGAATTAGCGGAGAACAAACACGCTGATGGAGAATGAGTATGGCCCGAATGATTGGGCTTTATTGAGCAAACAAACGAATCGAGTAGGCTGAAAAAGAGTATGGAGTGGTTGTGATAAATAACGACAGCAAATTGATTGCGAGTTAAACTTCATGTATGTAATTTATTTCATCATTCTAAACGGTTGACCGAATGCTGTATGTAAGAATGATCGACTTGTGCGCCCCTAGCTGTCGCAGATCTCGTTCACTATGGAAAAATATTTCTAAATGTAATCTTTAATCATGCGAGGAACGCGTTCTTCTGTTCACAGTAGCCGTCCGCACTCAGTGCAAATCCAGTCCCATAGCGTCATACTGCAATGCTGCATTTGTAAGGCCACGCCATAACCACTTTCTAGTGCTAGCATCGTGTCCGAAATTTGTCTCACTTGGTTGGCCAGGGACACAAATCACACCAACTGGTTGTGCGATTTTATTGTAATGAAACGACATATAGGTTATGACTAGTGGCGATATCGATGCATTACATTATACAATGTACATATTTGTTGTTTTCTTTTCGGGAGTGACCGAAATCGAACGACTAGCTGCTGTCCATCTATGCCGACAAAGACCTACATTTCATTTTTACCTCTCGCGCCCTACGTGTCATTAGTTCCCACGTGCCACCACCCAAACTAGTCCGATTGTCATTTGTTCACAGATCTTACTACGCTAGATTTCACATTTTCGATGCTTGTATACTGCTGCTCTTCAATCCTTTTTGGATGGACCTTCCCATCAGTTCCGGTTGACATATTTTACTCACATATTGTCACTTGATCTGATCATTATTACTGCCTTCTTTGCAGTGAATCTGAGTGGGCTCGTAGAGAAGCGTTCTTGGAGTTGGAGAGAAGGCGGCGTGATGGTCTGCCCCTGATCAGTCGCGATTTAATACCGCCAGACCGCGTGAAGTTGCCATCTGACGAAGAATTGGGATCGGACTTCAAAATAATCATCTGATGTTTTTACCTCTGGCTACTTTTCAGCACTCTTCGCCACACCTGAACATTTTTGTAGCTACTTTAGCTGAGAAGTGTAAATATGCTGCTACTGTTTTCGTTTTTTAGTGTTATTTCGGCCTTCTCTTTGGGCACTATCAGTCCGCCACAATCTGGCTATTATTTTCCCTCAGTAGAATGAAATTTCTTTTTGGCTTTGTATTTGTGCTATAAGCCGTGTGCGTACTAGGAATATAAGTCAGTAGGCTATTGAATCAGTGCTAAGATAAAAATGTCATTGTCAGAGGATCGTGTGCCGTTTGGTTGACCAGTACTTAACCAGAATCGTCAAGTAAAGAACTCGACCTCGTGTTTATGTTTACCAATCGATTCTGATAGGCAAAATAAACAACAAATGTACTTTCTCATCTGCGTTCATTGCTTTATTGTTACGTATGTTTCGTTAGGGCGGTCTTCGTGGATTGCTTCCCGTTACTATAGGAAACTACAAGAAAAACGGGCTATTATAGGAGGTTCAAAGGCTATCCCGCCTTTCAGATTAGTACTCAGTTGCTTTTGGATTTCGGCTTTGCTTCTACTGCTGGTTCGTCTCAAAACTTAAGTTACACCGGTTTTGTGAGCATATTCTCCTGGCTATCTGTTAACTGTTCCCTGTTGCGGCCACTTGCATATGCATTTTTTGTGCAACATCACAACTGCTACGGAGTTCTTCGATGACGGCGAGTTTCTGTCTCACATGGACTCTTTCTTGGTCGTCTTGCTCCGCACCTGTTTCTGGAAGATGGGTATTCGACAACACACTCGCAATATATATTGGTGATCTGGATTTACGAATTATAACACACTGACCTACCAAGCCGAATGAGTATCCGCGGAAGACGACACGGAGCAGCTTGAAGTGGCTTTTATCAGTTGACACATGTGGCTTGTGCTTACTAGACAGAGTAGTCTTTCACCCGAAAGTGTCATCGTTTAAACACTCGATCGTTCACGTAATGGAGCACATTTGTTCCTGGGTTTGTGTGGAAAAACACCCAGCTGGTGTCAGTGTTCCGCTTCTAGAGTCAAACGGTTTCTCACTTTGCGTTAGTATTGCTCCACTTCTATACTGCGCACTGTTGCAGTACATCTCGCGAGGTAGATAGATCAAAGTAAGCGGGGATCGGAGAATCTACCATCAAACCTTTTATTTTGTTGAAAGCTTTCAGTGTCTTGTCTCCGCCTTTTTGCGTCAGTTTTTACACAAATGCCTTTAATTCGACCACTCTCAGCTCATATAACCATCCATTCTTTTCAGTCAACTGACTCTTATCACCTCAATTTAGGATATTACGGCGCTGACATAGCTCCGCTAACATTGCATAGATTCCGCCGGGGTCACCTGAGGCATACACTCGCGCGAGGCTCAGCCGGTTTTCCGTCCGAAAAGGCCCGTTCCGTACGCAGCCCTACCCTTGGTCGAAGCGAAACTCAGGTGATTGGAGCCACCAATACAGCCTACTGTTTCCGGTAATCGCAATCGTTTCGCCGTTGGAGAAACGACTACCGAGTTAGCCACTCAACCTGGACCGAAGCGACAATGATAGCCAACCGTGGTAGTATGTTATATGATGTCGCTGTGTCT